GAGCATCTCGTCCGTAGTCCCCTTGCCACGAGCTTCCAAAAGGGCTCTTTTGAAGATGTCAACAAAGCGCTCTGCTTGAGCGTTCGATTAGGAATATTTGGGCGGGGAGCGAAAATGCTGCATGGTGTGTTTGCGCAGAAATCCTCAAAGGTCAATGCGATAAATTGCGGGCCATTATCCGACGCCAGAGCATCCGGTAGGCCATGTTGGCTGAAGATGCGCCATAGGAAGGTGGCGCAATCTCAGGCGACTTTGAGTCGGCGTCAACCACGACTAGGTAAGTGACACCGTCGAGTGGGGCAGCAAAATTGATATGCATAAGAGAGCTAGGAGTTTGCCATGGTACTGGCGGTTGACAAGCGAGCATTTTGGCAAGTTGTTGACAACGGGAACAGCGCCACACGAGATCGTCGATGTCGCTGTCAATACCTGGCTATTATGCAAAATTGCGAGTAATGGACTTCATTTGACTGATACCAGGGTGAGCCGCATGAAACTGGCGTAGCACAAGAAGTAGAAAGAGGAGGAGGAACGACTACACGGTCTGCAAACATTAGACGGGAATCCACCACAGACAGCGATGCTCGACTCAGGAAGAGCTTATGAAGATCCCCGGTGACGTAAAGGTGGGCCACCTGGTTTGCACATAGGAGATAGCTTGTCGAAGCACGGGATCTTGTTCAGTAGCGCGTCGTATGACGGCAACACTTACAAGAACGCCTCGAATGGCGTCCAAGAGCTGACAGCGCACTCCGTCCTCAATTGAAATAGCAGCAATCACAGTATCTTCCTCGGGTTCTTGATGATTACAGATGAGGTGGGAAAGGACGTCAGCCTGGCCAAAATCGGTAGTACGACAGTAACGGATATCAAAATCGTAACCGAGACGAATGGTTGCCCGTCGTTGAAGTCGGCTGGCTGAAAAGACTGACATACCCTTCTTCGAACCGAAGATGGACAGTTACGGTTTATGGTCGGTCAGCAGAATGAAATGACGAACGTACAGCAGCTCGTGGATCTTCTTAACGGCAAAGATGATGGCTAAGGCTTCTTTCTCGATTTGACCATAGTTCTTCTCGGCAGGGGTTAAGGTTCGTAATGCGTGCATGATCGCCTTTTCGGACCCGTCGGGAAAAGTATGTGAAATGACGGCACCATCGCCATGATTGGAGGCGTCTGCAGCAACGACGATCGGCACTGTCGGGTCATA